ACCACCTGGAGCAGAACAATATGCTTAGCGACCGCCAGTACGGTTTCCGATCTCATCGATCTACCGTTGACCTTCTGGTGCTCATTTCGCATACATGGTCAGTGGCACTTGACAACCACGGGGAAACCCATGCGGTGTCACTGTTGTCTGTTGAGACAGACCATGGGACGTGTGCCGTAATAGCTGTGTGAAAAGCTGACGTTGGTGGCCAGCTAAACTATGCTTTGAAGTGCACCGTCCAACGTTCAAGACATCGCTATTGATAGAGAATGGGCGAAACCGTCAGCTTCGCAGATCGTTTCGCTTTCCTACCGGAGACCCGGATGAGATGGAACAGCTTACGGGAGTTTCCCATGGCGACAGCACGTTCCATCTCTGACGCGCGTTTAGTCCACCAGATCTCGCGGTCCCTGCGTATGCATTGGTTGAGGCTACCAATCGTTACGAGTCGTATTTCGTTATGCTCGCTGCCGGTCGGCGTGCATCGAGAAGGCGCAGAAATTCCGCAGAAATCCAGGGCGTCGTAGCACGGCGTGCCAGATCACAACTAACCCAGCAGAATGCAGAGCATTCTTGATAAGCGACCAGTGCTGGTTAACGTTACCGGGTGGGTTTGGTTCTAGCTTTTCAGCTAACCGGTGTGTCGTGCGTTTCGAACGCCCACCGAAGCACATGGACAGCTTGGCGCAAACTAACGCCGGTCGGACTCGAGGGGAGTGCTCCAGTACGACCGGCAGTCTTGTATACAACCCCGCCGATTTGGGCTTATCGCGATGTGGTCGATCTGTGTCCGTCTCTGACTAGAGGAGAGCAGACACCAGGTGGTGTACCGGCAGTTTGAGCGCCGGAATTTCGTACTGGCGAGGAACAGNGTCGGAACAGAGCCAACAGCCGTTCCGTTTTCCGGAGGACAGGAATAAGGTCCGAAAGGACTTCGCAGATGCGCCTCACTCGAAGTCAGCCGACCTGCTCTAGCATTCTGATTTCCTGCTAAAATCACGATATCAGCCCGGGTTGCTTTACACAAGAGGTTGTGTAGGTTATGATAAAATTCACCTTTGACTGCATCTGGGCTGCAGTACGTTGGGGGGTACGCAGACACGACAAACAGGTTTCGTCTATCGGGGCGACGGCTGCTCACTTTGCACGCACTTCCAAGTCTCACTGCGCACAACCTACTGTCGACTGGGAACCAGTCCAGGAGCGCGGCTTTAGCTCTCTTACTGAGAGCCACACCAACGCCAGCAAGACCGGAAGCCGCAGCCTCAGCGTCCCCAGAGAGAGGCCGTTTTAGTCGGCAGTATGAGCACACCGGTGTACAGTGCCCGAGTTTCGCATACCCTATCATCGCAACAGAACGTTGATAGTCGGTCGCTTCGCTGTCGTTTGACTCAGTACCCTACTTATCGAGGCCTTTCACCATCATCATCGTGCAGCGAAATACAGTGAACTGAACTTCACTGATCACCGCCTAACTCGCAATGCATACAATGTTAGTGGTGAAATTCACCAACCTTGCATGCATTGCGAGTTTTGCAGCGATCGGTGAAGTTCGCTTCGATCAACAGACAAAGTCATGACTTTTGGTTTCATGTTTTCTGCTGTTCATCACACCTATTGGTCCGAAGAAAGGTGCGTGTCTCGAGATGTCAACATTTTGTTAACATTTCTTTCTTTGTGTACTTATTTACCTGTTCCTGTGGGACAAGGTACATCGGCCACACAAGCAGACGTTTATCTGAACGAGTCCGTAAGCACCACCCGGCCTGGTTGAACAGTGGAATAATTAGGACCCTTAACAGCTCAATCGTTTCACACCTAGTGGAATCAAACCACGTAGTTAATGTGGTCGGAGCGTTTCGACCCCTCTACTTGGTTCGCACCCGTCGATCTAAGAGGAGTGGGAGTAGCATTTTGGCCACAGCGGAAGCGATCGGAATCCACCTACATACCCCCCCCCCTATGCTCCCAA